CGTGCGACGCGGTCTTTCCGTCCGGTGGTTGCAGGTTCGATTCCTTCTCCTTGCGGAAATAGGAGATTTCTTTTTGTACAGGCGCGCGGGCTTCTCAGCCCGCATTGGGCCCGCGGGCGGCCCGATCCCTCACCCAGTCTTCAGCCCGCGAGAAGCCCATCTTCAGCCCGCGTGAGCCCAGATCCGCCAGCCCAAGTCCGCGGCCCAGCAGCCTTGCCTTCGGCCCAGTTTGATGTTCCCTTGGCCCAAATGCGTGGTCCGCGGCCCAGCTTGCTCCAGCGCGGCCCAGCGACGTAGAGAGCGGCCCAGATGCACCCAGAACACCACCAGCGCGGTCCAGACATAGTTCAACCGGTCCAGGCAGTCTCAGACCGGCCCAGATCGCGACCAGCAAGCCCAAACCCGGTCCAGGAGCGGTCCAGCAGGTCCAGAAGCCCCTGTTCGAGTCCAGGATGGTTCCCGAGCGGTCCGAAGAGTCCAACTCACCTACCGAAGGTCCGAGACGATCCGATGAGCTTGATGAGCGCGATTGGAACACCATGGTGACTCGATTAGAATCGAGAAAGGCCAAGTCTAGCTGCCCATTAGACTTTGGTGTTCAGACGATCTCCATCAACGGAAATCAGAAACGTCTCAGAGTCGGCAAAAATTTTTAAACCGTAAGTCCTAATCCTAACTATAGATTCCGCTGCGTTAGGATTTATTTTTCAATAGATTTGAATGTGCACATTGTCGACGTTCCTAATAGAACCCAACACATGCGAGGTGTGATTCGCTTCGGGAAGAAGGGGAAGCTTAAACCTCGCTATATTGGGCCGTTCGAGATCCTCGACCGAGTCGGGAACTTAGCGTATCGGCTGGCTTTACCACCAGACTTGTCGGGTGTGCACGACGTGTTCCATGTCTCGATGCTTCGGAGGTATGTGCATGACCCTGATCATGGGGTGGACTTCAGCGAGCTGCAGGTCGAGCGAGACCTTACCTATGAGGAGGTGCCGGTAGCTATCCTGGACCGGAAGGTCCATTAGCTGAGGAACCGGGCAGTGAGCTTGGTGAAGGTGATGTGGAGCCGGCACGATGAGACCGAGGCGACTTGGGAAAAGGAGGCCGAGATTAGGAGGCGTTATCCGAACTTTGAGTTCTGAGTTCTCCTTTGTATTTTATCGCTTTTTAGATTTTATTTTTGAATTCCGAGGACGGAATTCTTTGTAAGGTGGGTAGACTGTAACGCCCCGTTTGTTGATGAATAATTGGGATTGTTTATTTTGCATAATTGTTATTATTATTATTATTATTATTATTATTATTATTATTATTA